ACTGTTGGGAATGTGCAGACTCAGATGTTTGTCTCTTCAAAAAATATGTTGGTTTTTAGTACAGGAAAGACACACATCCTCCCAGACACAATTTAATTAAACTGTAAATTAAGTATTTTACCTACATTTTCATGATAATGAATTATCATCAAGGCCCTCACCTAGGCCTAGAAACAAAGTATTTTAGTTGATTTTAGTTAAGCATATGTTTTCTTTTCAGTCGCCTCCATCTCCTCTAACTGAAGCTAATTGTAGTGATTTTTTTTCTATTGATAATGTCAAATTAACAGTCATACAGAAAGACTCATGTGAAGGTGAAATTACAGAGGAGGAACATCTGGATGCAATTAAAGACTTTAAGTCTGGGAAAACTCCAGGGTTGGATGGCATACCAGTCGAGGTAAACCAAACCTTTTTTGATATACTAAGAGGACCATTATCAGCATGTTTTAACCACTCCTTTTAATAGAAAGTTAGCAAAAATAGATAAGATCTTACTACCATGGAAAGGAAAATACCTGTCAATTTGTGGAAAAATCACCCTGATTAACTCTTTAGTATTATCCCAGTTTACCTATTTGCTTGGGAATGTGCAGGCTATTTGCTTATGGTCTTGCCTACGCCTAGCGAACAGTTTTTAAAATTATATGAGAAAAAAATATTCAATTTTATTTGGAACGGCAAGCCAGACAAAATTAAAAGGGCCTATTTTTATAATGAATATGAATTCGGAGGACAGAAATTATTAAATATTAAAGCATTAGACCTATCACTAAAAGCTTCAGTCATACAAAAGTTATACTTAAATCCGAACTGGTTCTCAAGCAAATTAGTAAGATTGTCTCACCCAATGTTCAAGAAAGGCCTTTTTCCCTTTATTCAGATTACAACAACTCATTTTCAGTTATTTGAAAAGGAAATAATCTCCCAAATATCACTATTTCTAAAACAAGCCATAGAAAGTTGGTTGCAATTTCAATTTAATCCTCCAGAAACTACAGAACAAATAATGCAACAAATATTGTGGTTAAATTCAAATATACTAATTGACAAAAAAACATTTTTGAAAGAATGTTTAAAAAAGGTATAATCTTCGTAAATGACATTATCGGTAGGACTGGTGGAGTTATGTCGCACATGCAGCTAACAAAAACATATGGAAATGTCTGCTCTACCCAAAATTACAACCAAATAATTGCAGCCTTACCGCAAAAGTGGAAGAGGAAAGTGGAAGGGGGAGAAAGTAAGGAACTTGTCTGTCGGCCTTGCATTAAAGAACATAATTGGTTAAGGAAAACTGTGATAAATAAAAAAGTATATCAGTTTCACTTAAGGACCAAAGGATTGACAGCCGTCCCATATAGATTGCAAAATAGTTGGGAAGAGATTTTTGACGTACCGATCCCATGGCATAGTGTTTATAAACTGACACGCAAAACGACACCGGATTCAAAAATTTGAATCTTTCAATTTAAATTATTATATAAAATTATTGCTACCAATAGAATGTTATTTATATGGGGGATACAATCTTCCCAGCTCTGCAGATTTTGCTGTGAAGAGACAGAATCATTAGATCAATTGTTTTGGTTCTGTCCATTTGTAGCTTGTTTTTGGACACAGGTCCAGGAATGGCTAAAGGATTGCAATATTTACCTGGAGCTAACCTTGCAGATAGCATTACTGGGTGATCTGAAAAGTCATAGTCAATCGATCAATAATACTTTTAGCAAAAATGTTTATTTTTAATTCACAATCTGTAGAAGCAATGAGAATAGAAAGGTTCAGAACTTTTGTAAAACATCACAGTACGGTTGAAATATACAGTGGGGAGAACAAGTATTTGATACACTGCCGATTTTGCAGGTTTTCCTACTTACAAAGCATGTAGAGGTCTGTAATTTTTATCATAGGTACACCTCAACTGTGAGAGACGGAATCTAAAACAAAAATCCAGAAAATCACATTGTATGATTTTTAAGTAATTAATTTGCATTTTATTGCATGACATAAGTATTTGATACATCAGAAAAGCAGAACTTAATATTTGGTACAGAAACCTTTGTTTGCAATTACAGAGATCATACGTTTCCTGTAGGTCTTGACCAGGTTTGCACACACTGCAGCAGGGATTTTGGCCCACTCCTCCATACAGACCTTCTCCAGATCCTTCAGGTTTCGGGGCTGTCGCTGGGCAATACAGACTTTCAGCTCCCTCCAAATATTTTCTATTGGGTTCAGGTCTGGAGACTGGCTAGGCCACTCCAGGACCTTGAGATGCTCCTTAGTTGCCCTGGCTGTGTGTTTTGGGTCGTTGTCATGCTGGAAGACCCAGCCACGACCCATCTTCAATGCTCTTACTGAGGGAAGGAGGTTGTTGGCCAAGATCTCGCGATACATGGCCCCATCCATCCTCCCCTCAATACGGTGCAGTCGTCCTGTCCCCTTTGCAGGAAAGCATCCCCAAAGAATGATGTTTCCACCTCCATGCTTCACGGTTGGGATGGTGTTCTTGGGGTTGTACTCATCCTTCTTCTTCCTCCAAACATGGCGAGTGGAGTTTAGACCAAAAAGCTCTATTTTTGTCTCATCAGACCACATGACCTTCTCCCATTCCTCCTCTGGATCATCCAGATGGTCATTGGCAAACTTCAGACGGGCCTGGATATGCGCTGGCTTGAGCAGGGGGACCTTGCGTGCGCTGCAGGATTTTAATCCATGACGGCGTAGTGTGTTACTAATGGTTTTCTTTGAGACTGTGGTCCCAGCTCTCTTCAGGTCATTGACCAGGTCCTGCTGTGTAGTTCTGGGCTGATCCCTCACCTTCCTCATGATCATTGATGCCCCACGAGGTGAGATCTTGCATGGAGCCCCAGACCGAGGGGGATTGACCGTCATCTTGAACTTCTTCCATTTTCTAATAATTGCGCCAATAGTTGTTGCCTTCTCACCAAGCCGCTTGCCTATTGTCCTGTAGCCCATCCCATTCTTGTGCAGGTCTACAATTTTATCCCTGATGTCCTTACACAGCTCTCTGGTCTTGGCCATTGTGGAGAGGTTGGAGTCTGTTTGATTGAGTGTGTGGACAGGTGTCTTTTATACAGGTAACGAGTTCAAACAGGTGCAGTTAATACAGGTAATGAGTGGAGAACAGGAGGGCTTCTTATGGAAAAACGAACAGGACTGTGAGAGCCGGAATTCTTACTGGTTGGTAGGTGATCAAATACTTATGTCATGCAATAAAATGCAAATTAATTACTTAAAAATCATACAATGTGATTTTCTGGATTTTTGTTTTAGATTCTATCTCTCACAGTTGAAGTGTACCTATGATAACAATTACAGACCTCTACATGCTTTGTAAGTAGGAAAACCTGCAAAATCGGCAGTGTATCAAATACTTGTTCTCCCCACTGTATATGGCAAATAGAAATCCTATATGGATGGTGTTAAGAAATAGATGGGAGGTATTGAATGGAGTTGAAGGATGGGACTAATAACAAATAACAACAAATAATAACAAGATAACTAATAATGTAAGCATACTGTGTCCATAATAAGTATATAGGTTGTATGTTGGGAGCTTTTGGGAAAGAGCACAGTTAGAAAGATATGGCATATAGAAGCAAACCGGATGGACATCATGAAAATGATCGGAGAGGTTGAGAGTAGAAGAAGTTCAGGAGCAAAAACAAAAAAAACAAATAAAATATAATTATTGTAAAATTGACTGTGTCCATAAGGTGTAGATAGTAAGTATAGGCTGGAAGTAGAGGCCTGGGCATTGTTGTTCACTAATTTACCCCAAGTAGGGAAAGGAGGGCGGGGTTGAAAAGTAATAAAGGGGAGTATATATATAAAAAACATGGGGGATTGGAAGTGATGCAGACAATTACATTGATAGAAGTTACAATCTATCTGCAATATTAAGCTGATCTACCCCCCCCCCAAAAAGAAGGTATTTTAGTTGATTAGAAATGATTAGATTTGATTAACAAATTATTGAATAGTCTGTCATTCAGATGTCTTATTATTGACAACTAATATTAGGCTATGTATTATGGCTCCGTTGTTTCAGCTTTTGAAATAATTAAGTGTTTTAATATAATAATTGTATTGTATTCATTGTTGTAGTAACTTTTGTAGTTGTATGTAATCACTTTTGATAACTTTAAGCAACTTGCCCTGTCAATAACAAGGTTAATCATGATTTTGGAAGCGATTGACAACGATTATGTCTGTATTTGCTCGCCATACTTGCACGTGTATTCACTCGCTGCCTGTCTGATTCCAGAAAATGTGTCTTAAGTGAGTAAACCATTCCATTTTCCTATATATTGCACAGCTTTGGAAGAAAACATGTGTTGTGAGACTACTAAATGTGAATAAGCCAAATGCATTTTTTTTTTGTCTAAATAAATCGTTAAGTAGTTATCTTCTAACTGTATGGCTCGTGACCTGCAACGATTTTGTCTCACTAGGAATGTAGCTCTGGTCCAGCGCGTTACTAACGCCCTGGACCAGAGCTAAGTGGAATGGAGCGTCGCTAACAACCACCTGTTTTAGCTGTGCTAATTGATGCTATTTGGACAGTGTTGGCTGCATGTTGTAAACGAATTGAATCCATTCATTTATATGCACTACAGACTTCAGACGACTACCGTGGAATCAACTGACATACTGTTTGACCTCCTGTAGAAAAGGTTGGTCTTCACGAGTTGCTAGCTAAAATATGGAAACTGAATGCTTGTTGAAATAGGCTAGCCAGTTTACCTTTTTTTGTTAGTGAGCGAGCTACAGTAGCTAGTACTTTCAAAATACGTTTCACATTGTGACAGCTTGTAACAGTCTTTAGTCTAATTAGCTAGTTGGTCCAATGGTGGACAATGGGGGTGGATTCTTTGCACATTTCAGTGTTTATTTTTCAGAAAATGCATTAGTTAGCTAAACTGTAGCCTATGACCTCTCTCCCCCTCTCTCTGTCTGTCAAGTCTCACAGAATGACCCAGGAGCAGTTGCTCTTGGGCCTGAAGAAGGATGTGCGCTCCCTGCTCATCTCAGCCAAGCAGGGCCTGACCCCAGATCAGCTGAAGCGAGATTACATCAACATGCTGGGCCACCCCATGCCCCTGAGGATCCTTGGCTTCCGCAATGTACTGGACATGATCCGGGAGATGCCCGACGTGGTGTATGTCCACTATCTAGGAGATGGCAGCATGGTATTGAAGGGTAAGTACTGAGCACTAGTCCCACTGTTGTTTCGCTGACTGTTGTGTCACAGCAAGTTTGTTTTGTCTTGAACACGTGACATTATAGGCCGAATTGTTTTGGCACACAGCATGCTATCGTTTTCATATTTGTTGACAAGAGTTAAAATGTTTGCCTCGTGCTTGAGTATAGTATGCACAGTATCAGGAGAGGAAGAATATACCAGAACACAGATATCAATTCAACTCTATTCTATTCCAAGCTCAGCATACCAACCCATCTCTCCAGTGGCATACCACAGTTTCATGGAGCCCCGCAAGGTCTGAGCAAGGCCTTTTTTCAATGAGGCTGAGTGAAAATGTTGCAGTTTTACAGCAAATTTTCTGTAATTCTAAACATTTTTGCCATGGCTTATGACCTGTTCATATGCTATCTGGGGAGGGAGGGAGGAAGGGGGGGGGACCTCCAGGGGGCCCCCAACCCAACATGAGTTATTTATGGGTTGGGGGCCCTCAGAGCCCGTGGGCCCTCACGCCTTGCGGGGGTGTGTGGTACGCCAGTGCAGTCTCTCTTTCCCCATTCTGCAGCGGTGGCGGATGACGCCACCAGAGGCATCGTGGAGTTGGTGGCCAAGCAGCGCAACGCCAAGAAGGCCCCGGCTCGGCGTGGCGGTGTGGGCTTCTTCTCCCCACGCTACCAGCAGCAACACCCCATGGTCCTGCCGCGGCGTGGCCACGCTCCCCTGGCCCTGCCGGCCCAGCTCCGGGCACAGCTCCACCAGCTGCTCTCCCAGGGGGCCGTGGGCCTATCGGAGCTGGAGACAGCCTTTGCCCGCCGCTTCGGCTTCCCTTTACGCGTCAACAACTACGGCTTCTATTCCATCGTTGAGATGCTGGCGGCGGCCGCCGACCTAGTGGCGGTCACACAGAGCAGGATGGGCTCCCTGCTGTCCCTCAGGGGGGCAGGGGTGGCATCACGGATGAGGACCGGACCCATAAAGCCGCTCTTCCCACTGAAGCAGACCTTCCAAACTGTTCCTATCGTAAGGCCGATGACACAGACAAACTCAGGTTGGTTGGTCCCACAGTGAAAGATACAACTCCATTTCAAGCAGATCATGTTGAATTTAATGGATTGCTCCTCATGTACAGTACACATTGCATATATCGATTTAAAAAAATCTGTTTGTTTTTTATATCCAGTCCCAGTAGAAAAACCCACCACAGAGTCCAGTACTGATAATCCAAAGTCCAGTACTGATAATCCAAAGTCCAGTACCCAGAATCTTGTGGCACCAGCGCCAATCCCTGAGGCTGCAGTCCCTAACAGCCCAGAGGGGGACCAGGACTCTCTGCCAATGGATTACACAACACCACAGCCTGAACCTGAACCCACGCAGGACGGACAACTGTTTCAGAAGTGTGTCATCAAGGTGTGTATACTGCTGCCTTTACCTCTGTTATGTGTGTCATCAAGGTGTGTATACTGCTGCCTTTACCTCTGTTATGTGTGTCATCAAGGTGTGTATACTGCTGCCTTTACCTCTGTTATGTGTGTCATCAAGGTGTGTATACTGCTGCCTTTACCCTCTGTTATGTGTGTCATCAAGGTGTGTATACTGCTGCCTTTACCTCTGTTATGTGTGTCATCAAGGTGTGTATACTGCTGCCTTTACCTCTGTTATGCGTGTCATCAAGGTGTGTATACTGCTGCCTTTACCTCTGTTATGTGTGTCATCAAGGTGTGTATACTGCTGCCTTTACCTCTGTTATGTGTGTCATCAAGGTGTGTATACTGCTGCCTTTACCTCTGTTATGTGTGTCATCAAGGTGTGTATACTGCTGCCTTTACCTCTGTTATGTGTGTCATCAAGGTGTGTATACTGCTGCCTTTACCTCTGTTATGTGCGTTCAGCCACATAGTAATAGTTTTCCCCATGATCTTGTTTTTGATTGGGTGCAAAGCCCTCCAATGTAACATTCAGACCTGCCAACATCAGGCTTACAACCAAGTTATTGTACAGTATCTTGGGTCTGTGCTTGTGAAGCTTTAGAGCGCAAATGATAAGTCATGATTTTTAGAGAAGGGAATCGAATGTGCTTCTGAATAGTAATAGGGAAAAGTAGAATGAATGCCTTGTAGCCCCTCCCCCTTGTCATGTTTTGCCTGTGTTGATTGGCATCTCCAGCTAGAGGAGGAGCTTAGGCAGCGTATTCTGGAGAACGGGCATGCGGGCACAGTCAGTCCAGAACTAAAGGCCAAGCTTCGTCAGGTCAGTCCACTCTCAGCATGCGTCCCAAATGGCACCCTATTCCCTTTTATAGTACACTACTTTTGACCAGGGCACTATAAAGGAATAGGGTGCCATTTGGGACACATGCTGTCTCCACCCAAATGCCAAATCCATTAATCAGAAATCCATCTAATGACAGTAGAGATTCTAATACGACAAACCTTCTCTATAGGTTGTAGCCCAAAACAGCGAGGGACTATCCGTCCACGATCTCCCTGCAGAATACAAGGTAATTTATACTGACAAATAAAATACATTCCCTTTGGAATGCCTACATACTAACCAATTCCTAATGAAGCCTAATCATTTTGCGTTTTTCAAATGACAAAGTAGTGCTTCTTTCCAAGGTGTCTTGTATGTTGCGCTGACCTTTGTTGCCCTTATGACCCCCGGTTGACCCCAGAGGGTGTTTGGGGAGGAGCTGCCGGTGGTCCAGAGTGGCTTCCTGAGCACCACAGAGATGGTGGGTGCACTGAGCGACACGCTCTACCTGCGGCCCGTGGTGGGTGACGAGGGCAACCACTGGATGGTCATGGACATCCAGAATTCCCCCGCACACGCAACGCCACAACAACCAGGTCTGCTACGCTCCTCTGGCTCTAACCTAGGATCAGATTACACCACTACCGATCCTAAAATTAACCATTAGTGGGGTAAACAAATATTTGACCCTAGATCAGTGGTTAGGGGGCAATCTCTGGCTCACACACAACACCTATCCACTTTATTCCTAGCCATAGATGTTAGAGTTCAGGACAATCACATTCTGATTGATTACTAACTCATTGTTATAACCAAAAAGTATAACTTTTAGTGCCCATTAAGAGTCAACAAAACAAGTATTTTGGGTCTAAGTGTGTCATGACTGATCTCAATCAATATGTCACTCTGGTATTTCTTGTGTGGTGCTGTATTGTGGTAGGAGTGGCAGAGCCAGAAGGCCCCATTGAGGGTGTCAAGGCTCTGAACCCGTCAGGTACGGGCTACTACTTCAGCTGTGCGGAGTCTCCCTGGGAGGGCCGGGAGGGAGAGGGAGAGGGAGGCGAGGCCAACCCCGACCTGGAGGAAGACATGGAGCTCCGCATCACCACCAAGACCTTCCACCAGGTGAGCTGGAGCCTGGGGAGAGACATCTGCCTTTGGCTTGAGACAAGGGGCAGCCAGCTCCGTTCCTGGAGGGACACAACGCTTGAAAAGTCCTGATAAAATACATGAAGTGTGTAAGTGCTGGGCACGAATGGAAGATGAAAGCCTGCACCCATTGCTGCAGTTTTGCGGACAGGAAAATCTCAGTTTGTCACTGTGGTCCATTTGTTTTTGTATACTTGTTCACATGCATAATAAGAGTGTACACAAATATTCTGTTTATGGCTGCTCCCCTCAGATGGTGGATATTTACGGCTCGGTGCCGGTACGTTGGCGGCGTGGGGCGGTGGTGCCCCCGGACGCCATGCGGGGCCTTAGGCTGAGGGCCCCCACGTGCAGGGGCCCCCGGGAGCTGGTGGCCGTGCTGGTGGAGCACATGGAGTCACCCTCGAACTTCTACATCCGCTTTGATGAGAGCCAGGAGGCCCGCGCCCTGGAGAACATGATGATTGAGATGAGGTGAACAACAACAACAGCCCTCTGCTAGACTGGAGGGAGAGGGAGGAGAGGAACGTGTGGCTTCCTTGCCTCAGTGGCTGGGATTTGACATGTAGTCCAATTGGCTTATTTGGTATGAATGTGCAATAACTGTTCATATCTAGTAGTTGTCCACCATGTTACCCTCAACTATCCGGTGTGTTTTTAGATCACATGAAGGAGAAGAGACCAGGGGTGGAAGCAACTGAATGCTATGTTTCTCTTTCTGCTCGCTCCTACTCCCTCTTTCCCACCTTCTCTCCCTCCCTCCTTCTTTCCCTCCCTCCCTCCTTCTCTCTCTCCCTCCCTCCTTCTCTCTCTCCCTCCCTCCTTCTTTCCCTCCCTCCCTCCTTCTCTCTCTCCCTCCCTCCTTCTTTCCCTCCCTCCTCTCTCTCTCCCTCCCTCCTTCTTTCCCTCCCTCCAGGAGCTGCTATACCTGTCCCGAGGTGTCAGAGCGCTACAGTCTGCCGGAGCGCTACGTGCGTACGGGCCAGGTGTGCTGCGTGGCGCCCCAGGGCATCTGGTTCTACCGCGTGGTGGTTCACCGGGTCCTCAACGACACCCAGGCAGAGGTCTACTACGTGGACTTTGGAGACCTCACCACCGTCCAGAGGAGCAGCCTCAAGTTCCTCAAGTAGGATCCTGACTGTGACCAAATGGCACCCTATTTCCTATATACAGGGTTCGTAAGGTCATGAAAATCCTGGAAAAATCATAGAATTTTAAAATGGTGTTTTCCAAGACTGGAAAAGTTTTGGGAAATGATAAAATCCGTAAAGTCATGGAAATTAATTTCAAAATGTCTGTTAATGTAATTTATTTGCGCACATTATCATATCAGCTAGGATCGGAATGACACTTTAGCGCGTCTGTGTTTGCTCAAGGAGAGAGAGACAGTCGGACATTGCAGTAGCATGTAGGCCTATAAAATATGATAGAGAACAGACTAATAACTAGGTAGCCAATTCAAAACATATATTGTACCCTCTAATTAACTGTTAACCTATTATTAGCGTGTATTCATTTTTTCATCAGGTCCCAAAAAACTTTCCACCGACAATCGCGAATAAGGCCATCAAAAGTTAATTTACTTTTTCTAACGATTTAAATGATTATTTTTGACGAAACGAACAATTCACATCGCCATTGTATTAGTTGGGATTCGGTTCAATTGCGGTGAATCGAATCATGTGAATCAAAATAATAATTTGTGAATCGCAAAAAGTTATTCTAGTAAAAAATATTTCTAGCCTTTCTTTTGGATTATGTGGCTTCAAAACTTGTTTTTTAGATACTTCCAGTTGATTTGGGGCATCCAATGTATGGGACATTGCAACTCAATAAATGCTAGTCAGCCTGCAAAGTAAACACTTCTAAGGTAGCTAAGATGCATAGCTAAGCTACATTTCCTGAAGACCATTTTTTGGTCTGGCTTCAGCTGAATAAAAAGATTTGTAGCCTACCATAGCCATTTGATCTTTGATAGTTTGAATCAGCTAATTATTTCATAAGGCATAAAACGTATTTGGTTGTAATGTTATACATGAAGGGTGGTCAACCATCCTCCAGGAGAGCTAATGGGTGTGCAGGCTTTTATTCCAGTCCCCCTCTAAAACCACATTTTAGAAAATTAGCTCAACTGGACTTTGATAAATTGGCTCTGACGTGTTTGAGCAGGGCTTGATCAAAAGCCTGCACACCCAGTAGCTCTCCAGACTGAGGGTTGACCACATGTGTTTCATACAATTGTCTAACAGGTATTCTACTTTGTGGGGGGTTAAGTGCCTTGCACAATGACAGGAGATGGTACATGGGATCAGAGAGCAGCCTCCCAGTGTCGAGACCACAGTACACCATTTTTTAAATACGTACATAGAGGCGGCGCTAATTGTTGGTCATGGAAATTTGGTTAAAAGTCATGGAATTCCATCTGTTAAAATGTGTATGAACCCTGTATATAGTGCATTACTTTTGACCAGCACTTGGTGCCATTTGGGACGAAGCCCCTGTCCACAACCAACCCATTGCCCCTTCCCTGTGACACTAGATCTGAGAGGACTGGATAGGTAGTGCACTGAAAAGGGAATAGGGTGTCATTTGGGACGTAGACATTGTTTTCCTTTCTTTTGCCCAGGCTAATCAACAGCTGTAGAATTGAGAAGAAAGGTATTGGAAGTGAATGTCTGATGTCCCCATGTGTTGACTGATGTGTTGCTCTGTGCAAGGTGGTAACAGAAGGAGTGTTGTCTATCCCCTTCAGGTCTTGTTACTCAGAGCTCCCAGCACAAGCAGTCCCCTCATCACTGGCTGGAATCAAGCCTTTCGGTGTAAGACCTTCTACGCTACTGTTTACACAATCTACCATCCCCGGACCCATATTCATGAATTAATAAAGTGTCTTGAGTATGATTACTGATCTAGGATCAGACCCCCCCCCCCCCCCCCATATAGTATCAAACCAATCTTATATCCGTACTACTTCTCTGAGACGCTTAATACAGTCTCTGGTCTAATAACAAATGTAACCCACCCGTGTTTCTTTCCTCCCAGGGCAGCTGGAGTGCCAACGCCAAGACCTCCTTCCAGAAGCTGTGTTGTGAACGCACCCTGGTGGCAGCCCTGCACGGCTACCATGCCGACTTCCTGCAGCTCTTTCTGTGCGACACACACACCGAGGAGGACGTGTACATCCACAGCGCCCTGCAGGCCCAGGGCCATGGGCTCAGCTGCGCCCCTGCCGCCAGCGCAGTGGTCAGTCACATGCTGAACATGAGAGGACACTGCAGTCGCACACGCATACACACCTATCAAATTTCAAGACATTTCCCATTTAGTGATTCAATGATCCAATGCAATCTCCCATAACCTTCTCTTCATCCTATCTGTCCTCTCAGAAATGTGGCCAGTTCAACCCAGTGAGCCTCTATCTGGGCGAAGGCGTGTTCGACGAGGGGATGGAGATAGAGGACGAGGACCCCACCCTGGAGCCTTGCCCCGAAGCCACCACCACTCGCCAGCACAACACCACCCAACCCCAGCCCAAGAGCTCCCCTTGCTCCACTCACATGGTACAGAATACCCCGTCTCTCTCATGCATATTTACATTTACATTTTTTAGTCATTTAGCAGACGCTCTTATCCAGAGCGACTTACAGGAGCAATTAGGGTTAAGTGCCTTGCTCAAGGACACACCGACAGATTTTTCACCTAGTCAGCTCGGGGATTAGAACCAGCGACCTTTCGGTTACTGGCACAACGCTCTTAACCACTAAGCTACCTGCCGCACACGCACATAGACAACACCCTGTCTCTCACTGTAGCATTCTCTCCTCCAATAACACTGTCCACATAGCAGTCCCAGCGTTAGTAGTTAGTAGCAGTCCCAGCGTTAGTAGTTAGTAGCAGTCCCAGCGTTAGTAGTTAGTAGCAGTCCCAGCGTTAGTAGTTAGTAGCAGTCCCAGCGTTAGTAGTTAGTAGCAGTCCCAGCGTTAGTAGTTAGTAGCAGTCCCATTGTTAGTAGTTAGTAGCAGTCCCAGCGTTAGTAGTTAGTAGTTAGTAGCAGTCCCAACGTTAGTAGTTAGTAGCAGTCCCAGCGTTAGTAGTTAGTAGCAGTCCCAGCGTTAGTAGTTAGTAGCAGTCCCAGCGTTAGTAGTTAGTAGAAGTCCCAGCGTTAGTAGCAGCCCCAGCGTTAGTAGTTAGTAGCAGTCCCAGTGTTAGTAGTTAGTAGCAGCCCCAGCGTTAGTAGTTAGTAGCAGTCCCAGCGTTAGTAGCAGTCCCAGCGTTAGTAGTTAGTAGCAGTCCCAGCGTTAGTAGTTAGTAGCAGTCCCAGCGTTAGTAGTTAGTAGCAGCCCCAGCGTTAGTAGTTAGTAGCAGCCCCAGCGTTAGTAGCAGCCCCAGCGTTAGTAGTTAGTAGCAGTCCCAGCGTTAGTAGCAGTCCCAACGTTAGTAGCAGTCCCAGCGTTAGTAGTTAGTAGCAGTCCCAGCGTTAGTAGTTAGTAGCAGTCCCAGCGTTAGTAGTTAGTAGCAGTCCCAGTCGTTAGTAGTTAGTAGCAGTCCCAGTGTTAGTAGTTTAGTAGCAGTCCCAGTGTTAGTAGTTAGTAGCAGTCCCAGTGTTAGTAGTTAGTAGCAGTCCCAGTGTTAGTAGTTAGTAGCAGTCCCAGTGTCAGTAGTTAGTAGCAGTCCCAGCGTTAGTAGTTAGTAGCAATACCAGCGTTAGTAGTTAGTAGCAGCCCCAGTGTTAGTAGTTAGTAGCAGTCCCAGTGTTAGTAGTTAGTAGTTAGTAGCAGTCCCAGCGTTAGTAGTTAGTAGCAGTCCCAGCGTTAGTAGTTAGTAGCATCCCCAGCGTTAGAAGTTAGTAGCAGTCCCAGCGTTAGTAGTTAGTAGCAGTCCCAGCGTTAGTAGTTAGTAGCAGTCCCAGCGTTAGTAGTTAGTAGCAGTCCCAGTGTTAGTAGTTAGTAGCAGCCCCAGCGTTAGTAGTTAGTAGTTTGTAGCAGTCCCAGCGTTAGTAGTTAGTAGCAGTCCCAGCGTTAGTAGTTAGTAGCAGTCCCAGCGTTAGTAGTTAGTAGCAGCCCCAGCGTTAGTTAGTAGCAGTCCCAGCGTTAGTAGTTAGTAGCAGTCCCAGCGTTAGTAAGTTACCAGTTAGTAGTAGCTCCAGCGTTAGTAGTTAGTAGCAGCCCCAGCGTTAGTAGTTAGTAGCAGTCCCAGTGTTAGTAGTTAGTAGCAGCCCAGCGTTAGTAGTTTAGTAGCAGTCCCAGCGTTAGCGTAGTAGTTAGTAGCAGTCCCCAGCGTTAGTAGTTGGTAGCAGTCCCAGCGTTAGTAGTTAGTACAGTCCCAGCGTTAGTAGTAGTTAGTAGCAGCACCCAGCTTAGTTAGTTAGTAGCAGCCCAGCGTTAGTTAGTAGGTAGAGCAGCCCAGCGTTAGTAGTTAGTAGCAGTCCCAGCGTTGTAGTAGTTAGTAGCAGTCCCAGCGTTAGTAGTTAGTAGCAGTCCCAGCGTTAGTAGTTAGTAGCAGTCCAGCGTTAGTAGTGAGAGCCCCAGCAGTTAGTAGTTAGTAGCAGTCCCAGGTTAGTAGTTAGTAGCAGCCCCAGCGTTAGTAGTTAGTAGCAGCCCAGCGTTAGTAGTTAGTAGCAGTCCCAGCGTTAGTAGTAGTACAGTCCCAGCGTAGTAGTTAGTAGCACCACGTAGTAGTTAGTAGCAGTCCCAGCGTTAGTAGCAGTCCCAGCGTTAGTAGTTAGTAGCAGTCCAGCGTTAGTAGTTAGTACCAGTCCCAGCGTTAGTAGTTAGTAGCAGTCCCAGCGTTAGTAGTTAGTAGCAGTCCCAGCGTTAGTAGTTAGTTAGTAGCAGTCCCAGTGTTAGTAGTTAGTAGCAGTCCCAGCGTAGTGTAGTGCAGTTGTTAGTAGTAAGCAGTCCCAGCGTTAGTAGTTAGTAGCAGTCCCAGACGTTAGTAGTTTAGTAGCAGTCCCAGCGTTAGTAGTTAGTAGCAGTCCCAGCGTTAGTAGTTAGTAGCAGTCCCAGCGTAGTAGTGTAGCAGTCCAGGTTTTTAGTAGCAGCCCCAGCGTTAGTAGTTAGTAGCAGCCCCAGCGTTAGGTAGACCCAGTGTAGTAGCTAGCGCCCAGCGTTAGTAGTTAGTAGCAGCCCCAGCGTTAGTAGTTAGTAGCAGTCCCAGCGTTATAGTAGCAGTCCCAGCGTTAGTAGTTAGTAGCAGTCCCAGCGTTAAGTAGTGCAGTCCAGTTAGTAGTTTGTAGCAGTCCCAGTTGTAGTTAGTAGCAGCCCAGTTCAGGTTAGTAGCAGTCCCAGCGTTAGTAGTTAGTAGCAGTCCCAGCTAGTTAGAGTAGTTTAGTAGCAGCCCAGCGTTAGTAGTTGGTGTAGCGTCCCAGCATTAGTAGTTAGTAGCAGTCCCAGCGTTAGTAGTTAGTAGCAGTCCCAGCGTTAGTAGTTAGTAGCAGCCCCAGCGTTAGTAGTTAGTAGCAGTCCCAGCGTTAGTAGTTAGTAGCAGTCCCAGCGTTAGTAGTTAGTAGCAGTCCCAGCGTTAGTAGTTAGTAGCAGTCCCAGCGTTAGTAGCAGTCCCAGCGTTAGTAGTTAGTAGCAGTCCCAGCAGTATAGTAGTTAGTAGTTTGTAGCAGTCCCAGTGTTAGTAGCAGTCCCAGCGTTAGTAGCAGTCCCAGCGTTAGTAGTTAGTAGCAGTCCCAGCGTTAAGTAGTTAGTAGCAGCCCAGCGTGTATAGTAGTTAGGTAGCAGTCCCAGCTTAGTAGTTAGTAGCAGTCCCAGCGTTAGTAGTTAGTAGCAGCCCCAGCGTTAGTAGTTAGTAGCAGTCCCAGCGTTAGTAGTTAGTAGCAGTCCCAGCGTTAGTAGTTAGTAGCAGTCCCAGCGTTAGTAGTTAGTAGCAGTCCCAGCGTTAGTAGTTAGTAGCAGTCCAGCGTTAGTAGTTTAGTAGCAGTCCCAGCGTTTAGTAGTAGAGTAGCGCTTAGTAGTAGAGTCCCAGCGTTAGTAGTTAGTAGCAGTCCCAGCGTTAGTAGCAGCCCCAGTGTTAGTAGCAGTCCCAGATGTTAGGTGTTAGTAGCAGTCCCAGTGTTAGGTGTTAGTAGCAGTCCCAGTGTTAGGTGTTAGTAGCAGTCCAGCGTTAGTAGTTAGTTAGTAGTTAGCAGTCCCCAGCGTTAGTAGTTAGTAGCAGTCCCAGCGTTAGTAGTTAGTAGAGCCAGTAAGTTAGTGCCCCAGCGTTAGTAGTTAGTAGCAGTCCCAGCGTTAGTAGTTAGTAGCAGTCCCAGCGTTAGTAGCAGCCCCAGTGTTAGTAGTTAGTAGCAGTCCCAGTGTTAGTATTTAGTAGCAGTCCCAGTGTTAGTAGTTAGTAGCAGGCCCAGCGTTAGTAGCAGTCCCAGCGTTAGTAGTTAGTAGCAGTCCCAGTGTTAGTAGCAGTCCCAGCGTTAGTAGTTAGTAGCAGTCCCAGCGTTAGTAGTTAGTAGCAGTCCCAGCGTTAGTTAGTTAAGTAGCAAGCCCCCAGCGTTATTTTAAGTAGTAGTAGCAGCCCCAGCGTTAGTAGTTAGTAGCAGTCCCAGCGTTAGTAGCAGTCCCAGTGTTAGTAGTTAGTAGCAGTCCCAGCGTTAGTAGTTAGTAGCAGTCCCAGCGTTAGTAGTTAGTAGCAGTCCCAGCGTTTAGTTAGCAGTCCCAGCGTTAGTAGTTAGTAGCAGTCCCAGCGTTAGTAGTTAGTAGCAGTCCCAGCGTTAGTAGTTAGAAGCAGTTCCAGCGTTTGTAGCAGTCCCAGCGTTAGTAGTTAGAAGCAGTCCCAGCGTTAGTAGCAGTCCCAGCGTTAGTAGTTAGAAGCAGTCCAGCGTTAGTAGCAGTCCCAGCGTTAGTAGCAGTCCCAGCGTTAGTAGCAGTCCCAGCGTTAGTAGCAGTCCCAGCGTTAGTAGCAGTCCCAGCGTTAGTAGCAGTCCCATCGTTAGTAGCAGTCCCAGTGTTAGTAGCAGCCCCAGCGTTCGTAGCAGCGGGCTCCGCTCCTGCTCCTCCCTGAGTGAATTACTGCCACACTCCTTCCTCACCCATAGGGTTGAGGAGAGGGAGAAAGAGAGAGAGAATGATGGAGGGAATGAGATAGAGGGAGGGTGTGGGAGGAGAGTGAAAGTGTGGGTGGTGGGGCATATAGAGAGAGAGAGAGGCGGGGCAGAGAGAGAGAGGCAGAGAGAGAGAGGCAGTTAAAGTCGTTCTGCTGAAACGGGAAGGAGATGAATTACAGTGGTCCGTCAGGACTGTGTTAATGTGGCGAGAGCATCATCCACCCCTTATGGACACTGTACTGTGTGGAGATCTGAGGCCTGGCTGGAGTCTGGTTGACAGCCATTGATTTTATTGTCACGCATGTTACTGTGTTACTGTTTCCCATTCAAGTCACAGGGAGGCGTTTTCAGCTTGAGACCTGTTTGATTTTTCGCGTTGATCAAGATCGTCTTGTCCTGGTGCATTTAGAAGAGTTGTTAGTGTTGAGTCCACAGTCTCACGACATGCAGGGAGAGAATGATTCAACACTGATGTGGTATAAGTAAGCAACCCTTTTTAAATATTACCTTGAACCGATCACTGATCTGACATAACAGGGTTCAGGAAAAGCCATTTAATAGAACCCTTGCTTATACTGAGTTTACCAAACATTAAGAACACCTTCCTAATATTAAGTTACACAGCCTCAATTCGTTGGGGCATGGACTCTACAAGGTGTCGAAAGCATTCCACAATGATGCTGGCCCATGTGGACTACAATGCTTCCCACAGTTGTGTCAAGTTGGCTTGATGTCCTTTGGGTGGTGGATCATTCTTGATACACTCGGGAAACTGTTGAGCGTGAAAAACCCAGCAGCATTGCTGTTCCTGACACAAACCGGTGCGCCTGGCACCTACTACCATGCCCAGTTCAAAGGCACTTAAATATTTTGTCTTGCTATTTCACCAGCTGAATGGCACACATACACAATCCATGTCTCAAGGCATAGAAATCCTTCTTTAACCTGTCTCCTCCCATTCATCTACACTGATTGAAGTGGATTTAACAAGTGACCTCAATAAGAATCAACTGCATTCACCTGGTCAGTCTATGACATGGAAAGAGCAGGTGTTCTTAAAGTTTTGTACACTGTGTGTACAGTGGGGGAAAAAAGTATTTAGTCAGCCACCAATTGTGCAAGTTCTCCCACTTAAAAAGATGAGAGGCCTGTAATTTTCATCATAGGTACACGTCAACTATGACAGACAAATTGAGGAAAAAAATTTCTGAAGATCACATTGTAGGATTTTTTATGGTGGAAAATAAGTATTTGGTCACCTACAAACAAGCAAGATTTCTGGCTCTCACAGACCTGTAACTTCTTCTTTAAGAGGCTCCTCTGTCCTCCACTCGTTACCTGTATTAATGGCATCTGTTTGAACTTGTTATCAGTATAAAAGACACCTGTCCACAACCTCAAACAGTCACACTCCAAACTCCACTATGGCCAAGACCAAAGAGCTGTCAAAGGACACCAGAAACAAAATTGTAGACCTGCACCAGGCTAGGAAGACTGAATCTGCAATAGGTAAGCAGCTTGGTTTGAAGAAATCAACTGTGGGAGCAATTATTTGGATGATCCAGAAGAGGATTGGGAGAATGTCATATGGTCAGATGAAACCAAAATATAACTTTTTGGTAAAAACTCAACTCGTCAGGTTTGGAGGACAAAGAATGCTGAGTTGCATCCAAAGAACACCATACCTACTGTGAAGCATGGGGGTGGAAACATCATGCTTTGGGGCTGTTTTTCTGCAAAGGGACCAGGACGACTGATCCGTGTAAAGGAAAGAATGAATGGGGCCATGTATCGTGAGATTTTGAGTGAAAACCTCCTTCCATCAGCAAGGGCATTGAAGATGAAACGTGGCTGGGTCTTTCAGCATGACAATGATCCCAAACACACCGCCCGGGCAACGAAGGAGTGGCTTCATAAGAAGCATTTCAAGGTCCTGGAGTGGCCTAGCCAGTCTCCAGATCTCAACCCCATAGAAAATCTTTGGAGGGAGTTGAAAGTCCGTGTTGCCCAGCGACAGCCCCAAAACATCACTGCTCTAGAGGAGATCTGCATGGAGGAATGGGCCAAAATACCAGCAACAGTGTGTGAAAACCTTGTGAAGACTTACAGAAAATGTTTGACCTGTGTCATTGCCAACAAAGGGTATATAACAAAGTATTGAGAAACTTTTGTTATTGACCAAATACTTATTTCCCACCATAATTTGCAAATAAATTCATTAAAAATCCTACAATGTGATTTTCTTTAAAAAAAAATAGTTGACGTGTACCTATGATGAAAATTACAGGCCTCTCTCATCTTTTTAAGTGGGAGAACTTGCACAATTGGTGGCTGACTAAATACTTTTTTCCCCCACTGTATATCTCTCTCTACAGTTGTGGTCAAACGTTTTCAGAATGACACAAGTATTGGTCTTCACAAAGTTTGCTGCTTCAGTGTTTTTAGATATTTTTGTCAGATGTTACTATGGTATACTGAAGTATAATTACAAGCATTCCATAAGTGTCAAAGGCTTTTATTGACAATTACATTAAGTTTATGCAAAGAGTCAATATTTGCAGTGTTGACCCTTATTTTTCAAGACCTCTGCAATCCGCCCTGGCATGCTATCAATTAACTTCTGGGCCACATCCTGACTGATCACAGCCCATTCTTGCATAATCAATGCTTGGAGTTTGTCAGAATTTGTGGGGTTTTGTTTGTCCACCCGCCTCTTGAGGGATTGATCACAAGTTCTCAATGGGATTAAGGTCTGGGGAGTTTCCTGGCCATGGACCCACAAAATTCGATGTTTTGTTCCCTGAGCCACTTAGTTATCACTTTTGCCTTATGGCAAGGTGCTCCATCATGCTGGAAAAGGCATTGTTTGTCACCAAACTGTTCTTGGATGGTTAGGAGAAGTTGCTCTCGGAGGTGTGTTGGTACCATTCTTTATTCATGGCTGTGTTCTTAGGAAAAATTTTGAGTGAGCCCACTCCCTTGGCTGAGAAGCAACCCCACACATGAATGGTCTCAGGATGTTTTACTGTTGGCATGACACAGGACTGATGGTAGCGCTCACCTTGTCTTCTCCGGACAAGCTTTTTTCCGGATGCCCCAAACAATCGGAAAGGGGATTCATCAGAGAAAATGACTTTACCCCAGTCCTCAGCAGTCCAATCCCTGTACCTTTTGCAGAATATCAGTCTGTCCCTGATGTTTTTCCTGGAGAGAAGTGGCTTCTTTACTGCCCTTCTTGACACCAGGCCATCCTCCAAAAGTATTTGCCTCACTGTGCGTGCAGATGCACTCACACCAGCCTGCTGCCATTCCTGAGCAAGCTCTGCACTGGTGGTGCCCCGATTCCGCAGCTGAATCAACTTTAGGAGACGATCCTGGCGCTTGCTGGACTTTCTTGGGCGCCCTGAAGCCTTCTTCACAACAATTGAACCTCTCTCCTTGAAGATCTTGATGATCCGATAAATGGTTGATTTAGGTGCAATCTTAATAGCAGCAATATCCTTGCCTGTGGAGCCCTTTTTGTGCAAAGCAATGATGACGGCACGCGTTTCCTTGCAGGTAACCATGGTTAACAGAGGAAGAACAATGATTTCAAGCACCACCCTCCTTTTAAAGCTTCCAGTCTGTTATTCTAACTCAATCAGCATGACAAAGTGATCTCCAGCCTTGTCCTCGTCAACACTCTGACCTGTGTTAACGAGAGAATCACTGACATGATGTCAGCTGGTCCTTTTGTGGCAGGGCTGAAATGCAGTGGAAATGTTTTTTGGGGATTAAGTTCATTTTCATGGCAAAGAGGGACTTTGCAATTAATTGCAATTCATCTGATCACTCTTCATAACATTCTGGAGTATATGCAAAATGCCATCATAAAAACTGAGGCAGCAGACTTTGTGAAAATTAATATTTGTGTCATTCTCAAAACTTTTGACCACGACTGTATATCCCAGCGTGTTATCTCTCTCTCTTTCTCTCTCTCATATCGTGTTGTATTAGTGATTTCTTCAAGGATAGGAGGGAAGAAGGATGCATTTGTAATGTGCAGTAGTCAAGTAATGGATGTGTATTATAGGCCCCTAACCTCGTGGGGGAAGAGGAAGATCTGCCTGACCTCCCGGCACTGGAGTTCATCGAGGTCAACTCCACAGCCCAGGTATGACCTTTGACCCCTCCCCCCCTCCGTACACCATCTTATAAGAACATTGTTCTAGCATAGCCGAATAAGGAAGCAAGACTTTTTTTTCTTCTGTTTTTTCCTGGTTCAATGAACTAAGTAGGCCAGACCCAGATGCTATCGCATTGATGTCTATTGGAGACACACCCATTTTTCTCAATGGTAAATGGCCTGAGTGACCTATCTTCATTTATCCGCCGTCTTTGGTTCTAGAACATGGTGACGTTATAAGACCATGTTATAATGTGTGTAATTAGACTGGTCCTATATATGTGTGCTGTCTCTCCAACTCCTATGGTCAATCGTGATAAGACCGCACAAACAGACCTGGAACGAGGCTAATGTAGAATGTAACTGGGATTAAAAAAGGAATGATCTAATGTTGCATGTTTGTGTTTCTCCAGGTGGGCCTGAAGGCCAACCCGTTTGCTGCTCTGCAGAGTAAGGACCCGCTGCTGCTGTGCTGTAGTGACTGGGACCAGGGCTGGACACCCAACGCCCCTGCCCCAGAGGTGGTACAGCCCAAGGCAGACCTGATTAACCATGGAGACACAGCTAATGTAAGGACAGAGGCCAGACTTTTGGCCACAGAAAATACTGCATTCTTTTTTTTGGTTGTCGACTGAAAAGAAAATGACTGAACAGTCCCAACTAGACTGTATGATATTCTACCTGAGGTCCAGTTGTTTGCGTCGTTATTTGGCAATGTGCGTAACGCCACTAAGCAGCTGGTAAGAACTAATTTCATTGGAAAGCAATTGCAGTCTGCAGTCTGACCTCCTGTTGTCATGTTTGTTACGCATTAGATCTCTCCCCGGACGCACTGCGGTCAGACTGCAGACTTCATTGTTTGTTAATTGGAAGAAGATGAGAACAATTCCTCTCCCCCGATGTTCTCATTTCTGAACTCATTAACCAAAAGACTCCATGCTGGGGGGAAAAAGCCTGTTTGTGCCAATTTCCTGGGAGAGGAACAAAATAAAACAACACAAATTAGGAACTTTGAGATTGGGTTTTATTTCCATTGATTTGGATTTTGTTTTCACATTCTTCTAAATTAAGTCTTTATTAATGCTGCATGCTGTGTGATTGCATTGCTGGTGCCTAAAATATGGATTTGATTTAGCCAGTTGTGTTCCTATGATTTGGTGCTTTTCGAAGTCCCAGTCAATGCATGAATTAACCTCCTTACCCTTTCTCTCCCCCAGATGCTTCAGCCCCCCCCTCCTTCACCTAGTGCCGGTGCCAGTGAGCTGAAGCAGCCATGGCATGTAAATGATGGAGGGGCTGTGCCCCCAGTATCCCTCATGCCCGCTGTGCCCCCCCACAGCCCTCCACTCTGAAAACCCTGAGCCTCCAGACCCCCGGACTGATGCAGACCCAGAGTGCTCCATACGGTACGGTTAACAATCTCACACATACACACACAGTAAACAAACCATTACACACACACACACACACACACACACACACACACACAATGCAGTAAACATTTTATGCACACACACACACACACACACACACACAGGGGTTAGCCGGAGCGCTGATGATGCTAGAGAAACGCAATGTAATTCCACACTAGTGGATGGCCCTGCACAGAGAAACTGACACTGATCCAATTAGACCTGTTACCATAGCTATTTGCCCAAATTGTGTTACCTAATTGCATAATGATATTGATACACTGTTACAGTGCAGTGGTTTTGGTTAAGCTGTGAACAAAAGACCTGAACAGGCCATGGAAATACAACAAGCAGGCTGAGCTTTACACATTATCTACTGTTGTTCAGCAGCAGTACTGCATCTATATGTCTCGCTGTAATATGAATTTTGGGACAGATCCTAACTTGAGATGCTTAAGCATAGTATGCATACCTCTTGACTTTTATAGAAATCGTGCATTGATGTCTGTTGGAGACTAATGCAAAGATGCTGTTTTGGTTGCGGATCTTAAGTTAGGATTCTGACTCTGCTGCCATGGAAGATGTATGCATTAATGAGGTGTTTCCTGTGTTGTCTAGGTACATCCATGTTCCCTCTGTTTGGGATGGGGGACGTGCTGCGTGTCACCTCGCCCTTCGCCCTGGGCCCGGCCGCCCGTCTGGCTACCGGCACTGGTTCCCACCTCCTCAACTGGTACCCTCACAAAATGGCCTGAACACACACACACACACACACACACACTTCCTCAATACACAACTGGTCAAACCAGCATTATCCTATTATGTGCACACATGATCCTCACCTGTTAGAATTATGTTAGCTACCTACAGTCGTCCTCTTTTAGGTTTCTTGGTTTGATATTAATGTCATGTAGACTTCTCCCATGTTTTCGCTAACACTACAAGGAATGTGTGCAGAGTCGATCGCTCCTTCTTCGAAATAGAAAATAATCGGAAAGCTTGTTTTGTAGAACTTTGAGTTGGGTTTTTAGCGCTAACGTTTTCTTTTATGCCATTAGGTAGGCTTTGATATGTTTCATGTATTTCATATTGTAATGACCGGGTAAGTTTCCTTCTTTTCTACCAGTTGCCTGTTTAACTGCTCAGCAGGTTAGTTTTCTTAGGGGACGGGGGAGTTTCGAAATGACACTTATGAAACAGAAAGAAATAATGCAGGAAAATGTCATTTTATTTTTTGAAAATAAACCAAATTGACAACTTGTATACCCATGGAGATCTTTAATTTGATTTCACGTTCACACGGAATAGGAACGGTACAGTAGTTCTATCATTCTTACCTTTGACCTTTTTGTTCTACTTTGGCCATTGTCAGGTGCAAACTTCACACTGGTTGCAAATGCTTAAAATCTTGTCCCACCAGATACGCCCACACATCGAGGTCAAGTGGCACACAAATGACAGAAAAGCTTTTGAAATGGGCGATGTACTGTGGACAGCACTACACAAACCTGTTGCAAAAGTACTGTGGACAGCACTACACAAACCTGTTGCAAAAGTACTGTGGACAGCACTACACAAACCTGTTGCAAAAGTACTGTGGACAGCACTACACAAACCTGTTGCAAAAGTACTGTGGACAGCACTACACAAACCTGTTGCAAAAGCGCGGTCCTTTTTGTTTACCATTTCAAAACCTGTTCTTCTATTTGTGCCAAATGAATGGTGACCCCAGGTAGTCGTTATGAGCGTGAAGAGGTGGTCAGGATCTAAAAAAACGAGAGGAGAAAGCAGCCTGTTATCCTCCATCGCCCCCTCTCTCCCGGCCAAGGCTGCCCCCACCCATCTCCTCCCTGTGTGTCCATAACATCTAACGGAACCTAACCCCCCCCAACCACCAATCCACTGAATCATCGCTTTACTCACTCGCCCCCCTCTTTTATTCCTGCTGTCTGCTTTTTCTGCAGCACGTCACTTCAAATAAGACGTTACATCGGGCCTACAGCGTGTTGAGGTGTACTCGGAGAGAGGACGAATAATCCTGGGACATGATGGAAAAAACTATAAATAAAAGAGCAACTCGCAGCGCCGCGCCAAATGCTCGTCTGCATCAGGCCGTGAGTGAGCCGAATTGACGACTTGTTTCCCTATGACTAAACTACTCTGCCTCATCAGGAAACACCACCCACTCACCCCTGTACACCGCTGTATCTAAACATGTTCCCCCTGTCAAAACAAGCACTATCAGAGGACACGGGGGAATTATAAAAACAGGACGTTGTCTTCTACTGAGGTGCTGCCCATGCCAGTGTCACGACTAGACCCCCGTCCTTCATTTTGGATCCAGATGACATGGCGAGCCAGGGGTTCGGAGTCCTTGGATGTGAGGTGTCCTTGGATCCTCACTGGCCCCTGTGCACTGAATTCTGCCAATTAGCCTATTAAAGGGTTCGTTAATGAGCCCTGCTCCAGCAGTATTGTAGGAGACCTGGACATTTAGAAGGCCAGAGCAGGGAGAATGTACGCTGCCTCATTGCAGCTCAAAGGGGGGCGGGCAGCACAGAAACTAGAATTAGGAACGGAAAGCATAAGTTATGGTACTGTATAGCAGTGGTCTTAAACCTCTGGTCTGTGGACCAGTACCTTTCCCAGAGATGTTAGGTCCCTGGCCTGAGATGGTGAGCTGACACCAATTTAGTCAGTTCTTAAGTGTTCACTTCAATGCAAGTCTTCCTCCAAGGAGGGAGGGGCCATAGCTTGCTGGTTAAGAAACCATTTAATATCTGCTTTATCCTCGGCTTCTCAGTCTGACTGGTCACTGGTTGATTGAAAATAACCTAGAGTATACAGTGCTTTCAGATTGAAATGCATTGCAGTTGACTCATGAAGCTGGTTGAGAGAATGCCAAGAGTGTGCAAAGCTGTCTTCAAGGCAAAGGGTGGCTATTTGAATATACTTTTTTGTTTACTACATGATTCCATATGTGTTATTTCATAGTTTTGATGTCTTCACTATTATTCTCCAATGTAGAAAATAGTAATAGTAGGTGTATCCAAACTTTTGACTGGTACTGTACGTGTTCACCCCTGAATCAATCATTTGTAGAAGCACCTTTGGCAGCGATTACAGTTGCTAGTCTTTTTGGGTAAGTGTCTAAGAGCTTTCCACTCCTGGGTTGTGCAACATTTGCCCATTATTATTTTCAAAATTGTTCAAGCTCTTGTCAAATTGGTTGTTGTTTATTGGTAGATAATGATTTAAAGGTCTCGCCATAGATTTTAAGTCAACTTTAACTTGACCGCTGAGGAACATTCACGGTCTTCTTGGTAAGCAATTCTAGTGTAGATTTGAACTGGGTTTGGGAAACCCTGCGATAGACAATCTAAAGCAGGGCTTTCCAACCCTGTTCCTGGAAAGCTACTGTCCTGTAGGTTTACACCAGGGCACTTCAACCCTGTTGAAACAAAAACCTACAGGAGGATTGCTCTCCAGGAACAGGGTTTGAGCGAAGACCTACAGGAGGGTTGCTCTCCAGGAACAGGATTGGAGAGCCCTGGTGTAAACCTACAGGAGGGTAGCTCTCCAGGAACAGGGTTGGAGAGCCCTGGTGTAAACCTACAGGAGGGTAGCTCTCCAGGAACAGGGTTGGAGAGCCCTGGTGTAAACCTACAGGAGGGTAGCTCTCCAGGAACAGGGTTGGAGAGCCCTGATGTAAACCTACAAGGTGGTAGCTCTCCAGGAACAGGGTTGGAGAGCCCTGGTGTAAACCTACAGCAGGGTAGCTCTCCAGGAACAGGGTTGGAGAGCCCTGGTGTAAACCTACAGGAGGGTAGCTATCCAGGAACAGGGTTGGAGAGCCCTGGTGTAAACCTACAGGAGGCTAGCTCTCCAGGAACAGGGTTGGAGAGCCCTGGTGTAAACCTACAGGAGGGTAGCTCTTGCACCTTTGTACTATGAGCTAGTCGCCAGTGCCACCCCCTCCTCCTGTTCACAATGGTACTCCAAGAAACCTAGCTCGTGCATATAGACCGATAGGCAAACATACGCTAAGCAATTGCACACACATACACACACCCATAGTGAGTCATTAGCTGTGTTTGTGCTCCCCTCCCCCCTCTTCTATGCACTGCTTCTGTCTCTGCTGCTGAATTCTTATGGCTTCAGTCCAGCCCCGCCAGCACCAATAATAAACTCCATATTCAAGAGGAGCCTCTGAGCACAGGGGTGTGTGTGTGTGTGTGTGTGACATGAGGCACATTCTTATTTTTTATCCTCCTTTGAAAGTCTTGTCTCCTGTATATTACATTTTAGGAACAAATTAAGTGGAAGCAAAGTGAGAAGCTTATCATTTCCATAATGTCTCAAACCCCCCGTTGCGCAGACCAACTAACGCTGGTTAACCATTGCATGAGTGTTGATAATCCAAGTTCTATAGATATTACAGTGATAGCAATGTCTTACACACACACTTTGTCACGCTGGTAACAAGCATTTTGCTCTCTTTTCACACTAGTAATTTAAAGGTTACTGAACGCTCTAGCAACCATGTCAAATGGGGAACGCCGCAGCCCGTCTGGTGTTCAACCTTCCCAAGTTCTCTCATGTCACCCCGCTCCTCCGCACACTCCACTGGCTTCCAGTTGAAGCTCGCATCTGCTACAAGACCATGGTGCTTGCCTACGGAGCTGTGAGGGGAACGGCACCTCCGTACCTTCAGGCTCTGATCAGTCCCTACACCCAAACGAGGGCATTGCGTTCATCCACCTCTGGCCTGCTGGCCCCCCTACCTCTGCGGAAGCACAGTTCCCGCTCAGCCCAGTCGAAACTGTTCGCTGCTCTGGCACCCAAATGGTGGAACAAGCTCCCTCACGACGCCAGGACAGCGGAGTCACTCACCACCTTCCGGAGACACTTGAAACCCCACCTCTTTAAGGAATACTTGGGATAGGATAAAGTAATCCTTCTACCCCCCCTTACCCCACCCCTCCAAAAAAATAATAAATACAAATAAAAAATTGTAATGTGGTTGTCCCACTGGCTATCATAAGGTGAATGCACCAATTTGTAAGTCGCTCTGGATAAGAGCGTCTGCTAAATGATGTAAATGTAAATGAAAATGTATTCAAGTGCTGGAACGGGCAACTCCACCTACAGTGGGGAAAAAAAGTATTTAGTCAGCCACCAATTGTGCAAGTTCTCCCACTTAAAAAGATGAGAGAGGCCTGTAATTTTCATCATAGGTACACGTCAACTATGACAGACAAAATGAGAAAAAAAAAATCAAGAAAATCACATTGTAGGATTTTTAATGAATTTATTTGCAAATTATGGTGGAAAATAAGTATTTGGTCAATAACAAAAG